CTTTAGACAGTAGATTAAATATAACGACGTATATACATGATCTTCTAGACTATCTTTTTACATTTTTTTTGACACAAAGAATACGCACATATGAAGATTCATTAATACTTATAAAAATTTATAAAGTTTACATTTTATCGTAAATTGCATATTATATGTGTATACAGTGTATATGTATATATATTTTTTTCCTCTTCTAATAATTTATAAGAATTTTTTAGTAAACATTTTCATTTTAGATACTTATTATAAATAAATACAATAAATATATATATATACGAGGGTAGTTCGAAAAGTTCTCGGCCTGGCAAAGAAAACACATGATTTCCAGCAAAAATCTTTTTTATTTTTCAACATAGTCCCCTTTCAACTCAATACATTTAGACCAACGATGTTCTAATTTTTTTATATCCTCAGTATAATACGATTTGCTTAAGCCTCCAAAATAAGCATTCGTCTCAGCGATGACCTCCGCATTTGACGTGAATTTTTTTCCAGCAAGCCATTTTTTCATATTCGGAAACAAAAAGAAGTCACTGGGAGCTAAATCTGGCGAGTACGGTGCGTGTGGTAACAATTCGAAACGCAATTCATGGAGTCCAAGCACTCTTGAGAAATGTTCGTTCGAATGCGTTTCTGATCGACCGTTAACAAACGCGGCACCCATCGCGCTGAGAGCTTTCTCATATGCAAATGTTCATGTAAGATATTGTGAACACGATCTATTGAGATGTTTGCAATGTTAGAAAGCTCACGCACTTTTACTCGTCGATCATTTAACACGCTATCGTGGATTTTTTGAATGATTTCCTCATTCGTGGCGGTTTTCGGGCGACCCGAACGTTCATCGTCAAAGATGGATGAACGGCCACGTTTAAATTCAGCAGCCCATTTCTTCACTGTTGAAAATGATGGAGAAGAGTCTCCCAAAGTGGAATCCAGCTCGTTTTTTATTTCTGTTGCCGTTAATCCTTTTAAAACGAAATATTTTATGACTGCGCGATATTCAATTTTATCCATTTTTGGAGAAGTATCAAATCTTGTCTGTTTTACTCGAGCACAGTAAACAAACTAGCGAACGAATCTGTCTGAAACTGTGCGGTACGCCCTCTGAGGGATTAAACTTGAGAAAAATCATAGCCATTTGATATTCTTAGCGACATTTCTATATTAGGCCGAGAACTTTTCGAACTACCCTTGTATATATATATATATATATATATATATATACATATATATATATATATATATCTATATATTTATTTATTTATAATAAGTATCTAAAATGAAAATGTTATATATATATATATATATATATATATATATTAATTATTTATTTATTTATATTTATAAAGAATATATTTATAGAACATGAAAAACAAAAAATATTTCACGGAAACGTTAATAAATAAATAAAAATTAAAAATTAAAAATAATAATAATACTTATAGTGTTTACTTTTATATGATGTTCCACAAAATCAATGTCATCATTCCAGGCAACAATTTGAACCCTTTTTCCTTTTCCGTTATTTAAATAAAATTTGAAGAACTTATATTGTTGTTGCGAGCCCACGCAACGTGGAGATTCGATGTTATCAACATAGCCAACAATTTCACTAATATAATTTAATTAATATAATTAATAATATAATTTAATTAATATAATTAATAATAAATTAGAAGGCGCGCACACTTTACACATATTCATATATATATATATATATATATATATATATATATATATATATACAAGATGTTCGACAACAGGCGGGATAAAGTTTAAGAAATGATTCTACTTGATAAAATAAGACGAAAATCAAGAATAACAAAAATTCAATGAAAGCTTCGTTTTTTTTAATTATAAGTATTTGAAAATTTGTGTGAAAGGTGTCTGAAACATGGTAATCTACAAAATTTTTAGCGAGCATAAGCTATATTGCTCTTAAAATATTATGTAACGCAAAAGTGTACAGTGAATTGCTAAATTCTGGATACTTTTTAAACAAACTTTTAAATATTTATAATTAAAAAATGAAGTCTCTACAGAAATTTTGTTGCTTTTGATTTTTGTTTTATTTTATCATGTAGAATCATTCCTTAAATTTTGTCTTACTTATTGTCAAACATCTTTTATATATTCTACAGATCAAAATAATGTAAAATTGTTTTATAAATTTATAAAAAATATTTCAGATAAAAATTAGAGTTTAAAAAAGAGATCTATTTATTGATTTTATTAGTTTAATTTTAAGTCTTCAAAATCAAGGGAAACTTACTTTGAATTTTTTAAATTAAATTCCTTACTTTTATTGCATATTCTTTATACTAATAAAAGTTTTTATAAAATCAAATTTTAATAAAATCAACAGGTTTCTTCGTAATTTATAATTTACTTTGTGAGTACATGTGTTATGTGTATGTGTGTGTGTGTATATATATGTATAAACCGAACAGAATAAACAATTATTTCAATTAATTTTCATTATTCTTTTGTATTTTTTGCATTATTTATGTTACATTGGATATGTGTGTGTGTGTGTGTATGTATATATATATATATATATATATATATATATATATATATATTTTTTTTTTAATTAATATTAAGATTAATTATTAAAATTTTAAAAACAATAAATAATACAAAAAATAATGCAAAAAATGCAAATAATACAAAAAATATAAAAGAATAATGAAAATTAATTAAAATAATTGTTTATTCTATTTTATTTATAATTGTTATTCCTTTTTTTTTCTTCAATTTTCATAAACTTTTTACTTACACTGTTGAATCATACATTTGTATACTTTCAAGTACATCACTTGGTGTTAATAGTTCCATTGCATTTAAATTGTCAATTTCAATAAGTTTATCAATATGATTTTCAGAGTTTTGAAATATATGATTTGAGTTATGATCTTCCGAATCATCCAAATTATATTGTGACATTTTTAGATTTAATATTGTAAAGATGCAAAATTAATAATTATCCTACAAAATATACAAAGATGAGATATATATATATATATTTCATTAATTATTTTACATGAATCTGTTGTTTGAAATAATAATTTAAAGAAAATATTAAAATAATTATTTTTTTTTAATGAATTAAAAAAGATTTATAATTTTAATGCTTTAAAATAGTGTTTCAAAAATATTTTATAAAAATTTTTAAAAATGTTTTAAAAAATATTATTTCCTGATTACGGGATGAAAATATAAAAAATACAATTTACATATTCTATTCATTCTTCTATATCAATAATTTGTCATGTTTTAAATGTCAATGTTTTCTTTTGTAAATCATAATGTAAATTATATGCCAAATTATTATAGATTCTCTTCTTAAAATAAAATTGCAAATTATTTGAATGACACAAAAGTATTTAAAACGTACAATTAGAAAAATTAATACAAAGAACCATTATAGCCTTTCATAATATTCAATATACAAACATAATTTTAATTGTTTATATAGAAATAGAAATGTAGACAATTTTTGATTTATTTTTTTTAACTTAAGATTAAAAATGCAAACATTTTGATTTATTTTTCTTCTCAATTCAAGATTAGAAATCTAAATATTTCGATCTATTTCTTCTTAATAAATTGAATTGTAAAAAAAGTGTTATGATAATACTTTCACATTTACACAATAATACAATTAATATAAATTAAGTAATATATAAGTTATATATAAGTTTTATGATATTATTAAGCTTTCAAATAAGAATTATTTTAATTTTCTTTAAATATTATTACATTTTTTACAAATTTTAATAAATTATTCATAAAAATGTTATACATATTATAATGTAAACAATGTTTTATTCATCGAAACTTATAGAAAAAATAATATCTGATAAAATTAAAAACTTCTGATAAAATTAAAATCAATTAGCAAATATATTGTAAAAGTATTAAATATATTGTAAAGTATTTATTCACTTGAAAATGAATCGTTTTCAAATTAAGATTAATAAATATACAAATATATAAATATAAATTTGTATATTACATATTTATATCTTTTAAAATTACAAAACTAAAATATATATATATATATATATATATATATATATATATACTATATCTTATGGTTTTACTTTTACTACGATTTTATAATTTTTAACGATAATATCATTATCATTATCATGTATTATATACATATTTTAACATCAAAATATATATACAATAATATTAATAATAATGTTATCGTCGTTAATAAAAGTTATAAAATCGAAGCATTGTATATATTGTTAGAAAGCATTCATAATAATCTGCATAATAATAGTAATGTGAATAAGTATATGTATATGTGGTGTGTGTCTATTAATTTAATATAACAATTTATTACATTATAAACTTATAATTTATTATATTGTGGTATTATGGTAAACTTACCTCAACAAAGTTCTGTTGAAAGTGAATTTTAATCGTGTTCTTATATTCAATTGCGTAACACTTAAACGTGTTCTTAATCGCGTATTAATACTTGTGCACTTAACGCGTATCAACACTTAAATGTGTATTTAATAATTAATACACTTAATCTTACTTATTCTTTCGACGCAGTCAAACTGGAAATAGCAAGCTCTCATTAATACAACGAAATCGTTATCTTTTACCACATCGTGTAGTATATACATAAGCATAATAGACATACCATAGATCAGGAATGTCAAAGGTACGGCCCACGGACTAGACGTTTGAATCCTTACCATAGATGCTATTTACGTTTTGGAGTGAGTTAAAAATATTTCTATCTTTGATAAAACGAGAGAACCTGCATACAATATAAATTATTACAATTACATTGTAGGAATGTCTCTGTAATGTTTCATTGCAATTTTGCAAGTTGCAATGAAACATTACAAAGACATTGCAAAGAACAAATCTACAAATTGCCAACACAGTTGCAAGATAACGTAAAAATTTGAGAAAAATTTTTAAATTAAAATTTTACAATTATATATTTTTAAAATAAAATCTATAGTTATATATAGGATATATACAAACTATAGATAATAAACTAAACTATTCAATTTTTACTTATTTTATATCCTTAAATATCCTATAATTGTTTAAATATTACAAAATCATTTTATATAAAAAAGTAAGTTCACTTAAAGAGCTTTATTTAAAAAAAAATGAAATTTTTAATCCTTAAATCTCTAAAATATAAAACTTTTACTTAAAAGTTATAAAAGTTATAAATTTTTACTTATAAGAAATAAATATAATATATAATTAGCATCTGCTCAAAATCATTCAATTTTTTTATATGTAATAACTATTCATATAACATATTATATAATTTTTTACAAATTAATAACTCAAGTATATAATAAACATTGAGAAACTATATAAATTAATAAATTCCTCATACTATATAGTACATTCCAATAAATAGAAGACATTAGAATAAATAGGAGATAAAAATCTAGATTTTATTCTATATCTTCTTAATAAATAAAATTGAAAAAAGTATTATAATTACTTTTAGATTTGGTATGATGCAACAAAAATATTGATTATATACGCTGTATATATAATTGTGTAATATAATAATAATAATAATAATGAAAAATCTATTAGCATGATTGAGTAAGCACAATAGACACAAAAATAAAAAAAACTATAAATACACTGTCGTGTAAAATTATAATATGTAATAGAGATGTACAAAACATGAGATTGTGTTAGAAATTTATTATAATGAAAAAGTTGCAGAACATCAAACGAAAAATAAGTTCAATATTAAGACATAAAAATAACGTCAAAAACTCAGCTGGTTTGTTTTTAATTTGAACCATTGAGAAGAATGTAAAGTAAATCAAAATGTACAGAGCGCTCTATTACTTCAATTTGAATAATTGAAATATATTTGTATCAGAACATGTGAATGATTTCAATTATACTTTTCTTTATTTAATATAGTATTTATGTACTTATTTTATATAATATAATTTACATATTATATAAATGTATATTTGCTTTACACACGTTATACATATTTAAATGAAACATTTGTTGATATATAAAATCAAAATTAAATTTGTTTATTCTATAAAATTTAATATTGAATTTTATTGCAATACTTTAATCATTTCGAAATTAAAATATAATAAGTATACAAATATATAAATATAAATTTTTGTACTACAAATGTATATCTTCTAAAATTATAAAACTGAAAAAAAATATATATATAAATTTTTTTATATAAAATTTGTACATATATTAAATAAATTATAACAACTTGTAATATTACAAAGACCTTTGAATAAGAAATATTAACAAATATTTTACCTTATATAAAAATTAATATTTTTTATCAAAAATTTTTTAAAAGTTAATTACTTATTAATTATTTATTATTAAACATCGATTAAATTATGTAAATTGAAATTTACATAGAATCTTTTAATAATATAATAAATCAAATGTAAAAATTAACAAACAGTTATTTAAAATGTAATCGTTATTTGATAATAAATTAATTAATAAGTTATTATTTAATAAGTTTGTAATTTATAAAAAATGTTTGTTAAATAATCTCAATTTTTATATACGGGAAAATATTTTTTGATGTTTCTTTTTATTCAAATAAAGATCTTTATAATATTACATTTTATTATATTTTATTTGATATATGTACAAATTTTATATAAAAAAATTTATATAAACATATACTTTTTTTTATTATTTTCTTAAAATAATATTGCAATCATCTGAATGACACATAAAAATATTTAAAACGTACGATTAGAAAAATTAATACAAAGAACCATTGTAGCCTTTCATAATATTCAATATACAAACACAATTTCAATTGTTTATATAGAAATAGAAATGTAGACAATTTTTGATTTATTTTTTTTAACTTAAGATTAAAAATGCAAACATTTTGATTTATTTTTCTTCTCAATTCAAGACTAGAAATCTAGACATTTCGATCTCCTTCTTTTCCTAATAAATTGAATTGTAAAAAAAGTATTATGATAATACTTTTACATTTACTCAATAATACAATTAATATAAATTAAGTAATGTATAAGTTATATATAAGTTTTATGATATTATTAAGCTTTCTCAAATAAGAATTATTTTAATTTTTTTAAATAAATATTATTATATTTTTTACAAATTTTAATAAATTATTTATAAGAATGTTATACATATTATAATGTAAACAATGTTTCATTTGTCAAAACTTATAGAAAAAATAATATCTGAAAAAGTAAAGACTTCAGATAAAATTAAAATCAATTGGTAAATATATTGTAAAAGTATAAATATATTATAAAGTATTTATTTACTTGAAAATGAATCGTTTTCAAATTAAGATTAATAAATATACAAATGTATAAATATAAATTTGTATATTACATATTTATATATTTTAAAATTACAAAACTGAGAAATATATATATACATATATATATATATATATATATATATATATATATATATGAATATATATTTATAAATTTTTTTATATAAAATTGGTACATATATGAAAAATAAAATATAATAAAATGTAATATTACAAAGATCTTCTTTGAATACAAAGAAATATCAAAAAATATTTTTCCTTATATAAAAACTAATATTTTTTGACAAAATTGTTTTATAAAATACTAACTTATTAATTAACTTACTATCAATTATTGATTAAATTACATAAATTAAAATTTACACACAATATTTTAATGATATAATAAATCAAATGTAGAAATTAATAAATAAGATCTAAATGAAAAGTAAAATCATAATATTTTTACGCATATTTATATTAATACAAATGATATATCAATATAATTTATATATATTTCAATCATTAGTTCACAAATCTTTTCAATATATATAATAACTATATATGTATATATACACAATAAATAGTTATTTTCTAATTCACACATGGTATATAGAAAATGTATAATATGTATAATATGTGACCTACATACATTTCTCTTGTCATTTCATGCGCATCATGTGTAAATCGGAAAGTACCCAATGACACGTTTCAAAACATAAAAACATAAGGTATCATCCCAAACATGCGTGATAGCTCGATTTTTATATCTTGTAAGTAATACTGATTCTATACACGTATTGAAGAGAATTTGACTTATTTAATTTAGCTTCTTCGTTATTTTTAAATTAAATTACAAATTAAATAGTTATAAAAATAATATTAATAAATAAAGATTTATTAAAATTGATATTCAAAATAATATGTATAAATTGAATAAAATGTATTAATTAAATAGTTATAAAATTAATAAATTATATATATATAAAATTAATAAATTATATATATATATATATATATATATATACATACATATATATAATTTATTATTTTTAATAAATCTTTATTTATTAATATTATTTTTACAACTATTTAATTTGTAATTTAATTTCAAAATAACGGAAGATGCTAAATTAAATAAGTCAAATTCTCCTCAATACGTACATAGAATCAATATTACTAACAAGGAAAGGGTCGGAAGTGTCCCCCTCCGATTTTAATGAGCTTTGAATATGTTGTAGTCTAGATCAAAATAGGAGACACGTATTTTTTTATAAGTGCTGAGTCGGCCGTTAAGGGGGTGAAACACCTTCTTGAAAAAAATCGATTTTTTCATTTCTCAGCGGATACCGTCGAAGCGATAAGAGATATAAACAAAAGTTTCAAATAAAAGTTTTATGGTCTTTAATGTACTTCAAAATCATGTAATCAGATTTGTCGAAAATGTCATATTTTTCGAAATCCCCCCCCTCCCTTTTAATGTTTGAAAATTTTTAAATTTGTCTCATAACAAAACTTATAGCTCATTTAACGACAAATTCAATCATATATAATAAAGTTGTATTCCGAAGTCACATTTTTCAGAAATAAATTAAAAATATCCCTATACACTACTATACGCCCGCTTTATCCGCCTTATGACGCTCATTATTCACAGCGACAGTCATTTTTCTTCGCAAACTCACAGAGGCAACCATAAATTAGCAATAAATAATTTATGAGAATATATTTTTATAAATTATAGAAATTATATTTATAAATATAATTATAAATTATATAATAATTATAATTATAATATATGTCTATATTATGTGACAATAAATATACATATAATTTATATGGAAAAGTAATGTTTTTAATGCATGAAAAATAAAACTAGTCGGACAAGGAAAATTATTGATCAGATGCCGATGTTAATAGATTCAATTCTATGAATAAACAGATGTCGCATTCGCGAAATGAGTTGGTGCAATATATTATTTTATTAACAACTGCGTGCAGTGGAACACATATTACTATTAAAGCGTCTATCGAATATACGCGAGCGCGATAGTAAATATATTTATATATATAAGAAAATAATTAAAAGGATTATAACTTATAAAGCGAGCGAAAAAATGCGTCGCGATAAGAAAGTCAGCTGCCCGAAGTGCTGATACAGCCAGTATCACACGGCCAAGTCATCAAACAGAGGAAGAAATCACTCTCGAAATAGCGCTGAATTGCAATAAAATGCGAGGAAGTCTTCGGACTTCCTTCGCTTGCATTTTGATCACGCCACTTTAGAAATAACCAATGATTTTATTTGGTCATGCCACCGCGCGATCCTCCTCCGATAATCGTTCAGAACCGGAGGCGTTAAAAGCCACCGCCTAGAAGCGGCGGACAGTCACAAATCAGTTATCAAATAATTAACAAGTGCTCGAGTTAATT